GTGGTAGAGTGCTAGCCTTGAGCTGAAGAGCTGAGGGACAGTGCCCAGGCCCAGAGTTCAGGCCCCATGACCGGACCAAAAAAATAAATAAATAAAATTAGAAATGAAAGAGATAACACAATCAGGTCAATCACTGGACAGAGGCAGCTGGGATGGGACCCCCAGGGTCCTTACAACAAATGGATGGGTAAAATAAAACAGGGGCACTGCTCCCTACTCTTCTATTCTGAGCACCATTATAATTCAATTTTGAAATTTCTGACTTTACGATATCTCTAAGAACCTATGAAAAGTGCCAGGGCTAGAGACATAGCTCAGTGGTACAGTACATACTCAGCACGTCAGAAAGAGCAGACTAGGAAAAATATAAAGCATATAAAACAGAAAAGTCTTAATTTCCTTAATACATAAAAACTATATTAAAGGACTGTTTATGCAGTACCCATTAGACACTATGTTGAAAGTGAACTATACAACTTGTGGTATGGGAGGGAAAAACTGGAAGCATGCCAGGAAAGAGATGACATTGTCCAAAAAGAAATGTACTCTTTACCTGATTTATGTAACTGTAACCCCTCTTTATAATAACAATCTAAACAAAAAAAATTTTTAAAGTTTAACAAACCAAAAAAATGAAAAAGCATGGGGGCTGAGAATGTGGCTTAGTGGTAAAGTGCTTGCCTAGCATGTGAGAAGTCTCTCATAAACTGTAAAAGCTGGAAGTGGTGCTGTGGTCTACTGGTAGAGCAACTTCCTGAACACAGAAAGGCTCAGGGACAGAGCTCGGCCCTGAGTTCAAGCTCCAGGACCAGCAAAAAAAAAAAAGTACAAATTCAATAGAAAATGAGCAAAAATAAGTGGGCAAATAAATCATAAGGAAAGAAATACAAAGGGTCAACAAACCATGGGAAAAAAATGACAAACTCTCTTAAGAAATGTAAATTAAAACAATAAAACCTAATATTTTCATCAGCAAAAAAATATTTTATAAAACCTAGTTTTGGCCAAAAAATACAAACACTCTTTCTCTGAAGGACAATCTGGAACTACTCACCAAAAATTTCAAATCATAATCTACTGACTCAGCAATTTCAATTCCAGGAATTTATCTTATAAATGTCCGGGAACAAGTTTACAAAGATACATAAAAATGGTTGTTGCAGCATTTTTTGAAATAGCAAAACAATAAAAATAATATAAATGTCCAACATTAAAATACTGGGCATACATATAAATAAATATGATAAGTACACAATATATATTTACACACATAATGTCTATTTTCATATACACTTAACCATTCCTGAAAGATATGGAAGAGGGGCTGGAGTATTGTTCAACTTTTGGTAAGTCAGATCCTTAGTATGTACAAAGCCCTGGGCTCAATTCCCAGCACAAAAAGATAAATAAATAAAAGATATTAAAGAAATATAATTTTTACCATACATCCTTTTGTGCTATTTATTTTTTACCATATACACCTATTTCATGGTTTTAATAGTAATTTCAAAAACCATTTTTTCAGCAGAGAAGGGGTGATACTAACCAGAAAGAAATGTACTCATTACCTAACTTATGTAACTGTAACCCCTCTGTATATCATCTTTATAGTAACAAAAACAAAAATGAGAACAAAAAAAAGTTACACTAATCTTTAAAAAGAAGCAAAACATTTTTTCAGAATATAACTATTCCAAATAAACTTTGCCTCTAGTTGGGGATTAACAGCTGAAATCAAGACAAAGGAATTAAACATAATCTTGTTTTTTGCTTTTTTTAGATTTTTTTTTAAATACACAAATCTGACAGTATGTTGATAGCTGCCAATTCTGGGTTGAATTGACATAGGATCTCTTTTACTTTTATACTTTTTTTTAATCTTGCAAAATGAGCAATGTAATTAAGAGAGAAATAATATTCCCTCAATCTAACATCCTTTTCCAGTTCCTGCCAAAATTCTCTTGTCCTATGTAGTCTCAAACTTCTCAGAAATGTTATCTATAGTCACCTTCTCTAGCTCCTAAATTTTCATTCACTCATCAACTCATGGTTAACTTCTAGTTTTGTTTTTTGTTTTTTGGTTTTTTTTGCCGGTTGTGGGGGCCTGAACTCTGGGCCTGGGTGCTGTCCCTTGGCTCTTCAGCTCAAGGCTAGCGCTCTACCACTTGAGCCATAGCGCCACTTCCGACTTTTTCTGCTTATGTGGTGCTGAGGAATCGAACCCAGGGCCTCAGGCATGCAAGGCAAGCGCTCTACCACTGAGCCACCTTCCCAGCCCCCTCATGGTTAACTTCTAAAATTCACACCAACCCAACCCACCTTTATAGACCACTCTTCCTTAGCTCACCAATGACCTCTACGTTGCTAAAATGCCAGGGATAATATTAAGCCCTTATCTTTCCTGATCTCTCAATAGCATGAGGTTCAAACTGAGATGTGACATAACTTTCTCCTTGTCTGCCATGTTTTCTCCACTTTGGCCTCTCCTCAATCTCATTGGCCATCTCTATCATGCTTGTTCAACTACTCAACCTTCAAGTTCCTCAAGGTTTGACTACAGAGAGGTAGTCAAAGATCACAGAATAAGTCCAGGGCATAGTGGTACACTACTATAATCCCAGCACTCAGGAGTCTTCCAGGCTAGAGTGTGCTAGACTCTGCTGTTGTGATAGATAGATAGATAGATAGATAGATAGATAGATAGATAGATAGATAGATAGATAGATAGACAGACAGACAGACTGATAGACAGACAGACAGACTGATAGACAGAATAAATATATGATAGAGCCAGAAACCAAACTTTCTCTAGGGCTCTCTATGAGACTCTTGCTCTTACTCACTACTTCATGTTCTTGCCCAAGGGTCTCCTTGTATAAGAAGTAGGACTAGGTCTCTGCCACTCTTTTCAAAACATTATATATCATTCTAGACAAAATTAGATTATATATTGCTAGAGGGTCACTTTAGTCAGACCAACCAACTACTGGTGGCTCACACCTGTAATGCTAGCTAATCTGAGGATCACAGTTCAAAGCCAGCCCAGGTAGAAAAGTCCCTGAGACTTTTATTTCCAATTAATCACCAGAAAACCAGAAGTGGCACTGTGGCTCAAAGTGGTAGACCATTGGCCTTGAGCAAAAGAGTTCAGGGACAACACCCAGGCCCAGAGTTCAAGCCCCACAACCAACAACAACAAAAAAAGAAGGGAGACCGATATCAGAAAATAATGACTTACCTGCTGAATAAATGGGATTCTCTCCTGAGATTCTGAAATTTAAAAAGAGAGAGAAAAGGAAAGTATGTTGAATGCAATTAAATATCTACGTTTACTTTCAAAACTACCAAAACATGTATGCTCCTCACTAAGGATATATCAATCCTTGATATTGCCTTACTTTCTCTTTCCATAAACATTAAGAGCAGGTTCTTTTGGATATGCAAATATAAGTAAGATATCTCTGTCCATGGTCTATGTGAGAATGATACATGTAAATATATGTGAATCACAAAACAGTACTATTGATCCATAACAGAAACATATACAAGATTCAGCAGAACACAAAAAAGGTGTGTCACTTCTACCAGGTAGGTGAAAGTATCTAAACCAAGTTTTTAAAATGAGGAACTATGGCCTGGGGTGTAACATAGTAGAATGCCTACCTTGCATTCATAAGGCCCACAGTTTAATCCGCCACGCGCGCGTGCATACACACACACAACACACACACACACACACGCACGCGAGCGCGCGCGCACACACACACACACACACACACACACAGAAAGCAGCTAGGGGATTAAGATTGTGGATCAGGCTTTGAAACCATCTAATGCTAGACTGGAGATGTGGTTCAAGTGGTAGAACACGAGCTATGGGCAAAAGGTCAAGTAAGAGCACAAGAACCTGAGTCTAAGACCAGAAACTGCTTGATTTTGTATATATTTCAAAAGTGAAAACAACAGTGTTTGTTAAACAACAATGTAGAATGAAAAAAGCAACAGTGTCAAGAATAACACCAAGGATTTTTGGCCTAAGCAACTAGATAAGTGAAACTGCCTTTTACTGAGAATGAGGAAGGAGCAAGATGGCAGGGGAATTAAAGCTTGATGTGCTTAGTAGATAGACAATGCACATGAAGAAAGAAAACACTGTAGGAAGCTGAGCACTGGTAGCTCACCCCTGTAATCCTAGCTACTCATGAGGCTGAGATCTGAGGATCATGGTTCAAAGCCAGCCCAGGCAGGAAAGGCCACAAGACTCTTATCTCTAATTAACCACCAGAAAACCGGAAGTGGTGCTAAGGCTCAAGTGGTAAAGTACTAGCCTTGTGCTGAAGAGCTCAGGGACAGTACCCAGGCCTAGAGTTCAAACCCCATGATAAACAACAAAAAAAGGAATTATGAGTGTTACAACTAGTTATATTTGTTACTAATATCCTTACCTTAAGAGGGAAAAGACTTGTTTAGAAACAGAGTTGTTCCCTAGGCCCAGCACCTACAACAAAACAGTCATATTAGAACAATGTTAACAAATTTATCTATATATATCTTTCTCTATATAGATATATAGATATAGAGAGATATAGAGAGTGATATATAGATATATATATATATATAAATATCTCTATATAGATATATAAAACAAACTTCCAAACACCTCTCTTCAAATAGGCTGATTACACACAATATACAAAACAAACTCAGCTGGGGCTGAGTTCAACCCCCAGTACCCTAGTAAAGTACGCAAAGGCTCTCATCTAGCAAAGAAGGTCTAAGAACACACAATAATATACAATATAATAGTATATATTAATAGCCGGGCGCTGGTGGCTCACGCCTGTAATCCTAGCTACTCAGGAGGCTGAGATCTGAGGATCGCGGTTCAAAGCCAGCCCGGGCAGGAGAGACCGTGAGACTCCTATCTCCAATAAACCACCAGAAAACCGGAAGTGGCGCTGTAGCTCAAGTGGTAGAGCGCTCGCCTTGAGCTGAAGAGCTGAGGGACAGCGCCCAGGCCCAGAGTTCAAGCCCCACGACCGACAAAAAAAAAAAAAAAAAACTCAGCCTGGGCACTGTCCCTCAGCTCTTCAGCTTAAGGAGAGCGCTCTACCACTTGAGCCATAGCACTATTTCTGGTTTTCTAGTGATTTATTGGAGATAAGAGTCTCATGGACTTCCCTGCCCAGGATGGCTTTGAACCACAATCCTCAAATCTCAGCCTCTTGAGTAGCTAGATTGCAGGTGTGAACCCCTGGTGCCCAGCTCTGCAATGCATTTTGTGTCTGCATCTTCACAGGTGGCATGGTAGTGACATAGAAATGGAGAATAGGTATAGACTAAGGCCTCAGATCTGATCTTGTCTCTGTCCATGCTATGTTTAGGGTTTTTTTTTAAATTTTTTTATTTTTTGGTCTGGTCGTGGGGCCTGAACTCTGGGCCTGGGCACTGTCCCTCAGCTCTTCAGCTCAAGGCTAGCGCTGTACCACTTGAGCCACAGCACCACTCTGGCTTTTTTCTTTTTGCTTATGTGGTGCTGAGGAATCGAACCCAGGGCCTCGAGCATGCAAGGCAAGCACTCTACCAATGAGTCACCTTCCCAGCCTGTTTTTTTTTTTTTTAAAAGAGAGTGTAATGTTTTTAGAATTTTCATGCCTGCCTAAAATGTAGATAATAGAAAGAATAATTGTGAGAAAAGGTATTAGAAAGGCAGAATATTGTTGTTATTAAATGTTAGGCCAAAGTCTTTGATCCGTCAGGACCAGTAAGGAAAGGAATAGTGTAGGAGAGAGTGAAGGCAATAAATCTAGTGGAAGACTGAGGTGGTAATTTGTGTAAGAAGGAGAAAACCTAAACTTAGGCACTGATAAAGATGTATCTATAAGAGATGTTAAGAAGATGGAACAGGCAGATGCTAGTGATAGATTAGATGTGAGCAGTAAAAGATACTCTGATTTGAGTACTAGGCCAACTAGAAAGTAGATAAGCCAGTTTCCCATTCTACCAGCATGTGATCTGCTGCTGCCTGCTCCCTTCTGCCAACAAACTCCTAGTCCATCAGCCTAGAATGCAAAATAGATAGGAGATTCACCAAGTCCTTTTTGACCTCCTTAATGAGAGAGAAGAAAATGACTGAGATATTGGATGCCACCTGCAAAAAAGCTGCCTAGAGTCAATACTTTAGACCTGAATTCTAGATGGTTTTGCCCTTCACAATGAGGGAATACTGGAAAAAGGACAGTTATGATAGTATGGTAAAGGAAAAGAGAACCAAATAGTAATTTGTGATCATTTTTTAAATGGTTGAACTAATGTATTCTTCCTCTCTTCTACACCATTCTTCATGGTGCAATCACAGTGATTTCTAAGCAAATCTGATCATGTTCCTGATCTTCCAAGGATTGTTTAATGGTTTCCACTGCTTATGACAGTGCTGCCCAACAGAAATTTCTGCACATGTGCTAATGTTGTACATTTGCTTGGTCTTATAGATAGCTACCAGTCACACGTGGCCATTGAGCACTTAAAATGTGACAAATGTGACATAGGGACTGGATTTTAAATTAAATATACCTGTAAGTGTAAATATCTAGTGGCTCCTTGTAACAACTTACAGGATCAGATACAAACTCTTAAATATGTATACCAAGTCCCAAAAGGGCACTTGATGTAACTTGATATAACCAGAGTTCTTACATATTCTTCATTCTTTAGCTAGTGACCAAGTTTTCATGAAACTTCTAAACAATAAGACTTTCTTGGGAAAACCAAAATAACACAGTATAGAACACTTTTCCAGGCTGTGTTTACTTGTCTAGCCTGTTCCCCCTCCCTTTTTTTGTCAGTTGTGGGGCTTGAACTCTGGGCCTAGGCACTGTCCCTCAGCTCTTCAGCTCAAGGCGAGCACTCTACCACTTGAGCCATAGCACCACTTCTGGTTTTCTGGTGGTTTATTGGAGATATGAGTCTCACGGACTTTTCTGCCAGGGGTGGCTTTGAACCACAATCCTCAGACCTTAGACTGCTGAGTAGTTAGGATTACAGGTGTGAGTCACCAGCATCTGGCTCCCCCTCCCTTTTATTTATTTATTTATTTATTTAGCCACTCATGAGGCTTGAACTCAGGGCCTTGGCACTGTCCCTGAGATTCTGAGGATCCAGGGACCCAGGGCTTCATGCATGCAAGGCAAGCACTCTACCCCTGAGCTACCTTTCCAGCCCCCAACCCTTTTTTTTTTTAAGGAATTTTTTTAAATTTTCTAAGAGACAGGTTTTTTAAAATTAATTTTATTTATGTGGGACCAAGGAATCAAACCCAGGGCTTCATGCATGCTAGGCAAGCATTCCACCACTAAGCCACATACCTAGCCCCTCTCATCTTTTTAAAAATAAATTTTATTCCTCCACCAATAGAAAATCCTGGAATTTTACAGACATAATATACCCTACCAACTCTCATTTTCTTTTTGTACCTGTACTAGAGTGAACTCAGGGCCTGGACACTGTCCATTAACTTTTTCACTCAAAGCTAGCTCTGTTACTTGAGCTACAGCTTCACTTGTGGCTTTTAGGTGGTTAATTGGAGATAAGAGTCTCACACCTTTCTTGCCTGAGCTGGCTTTGAACAATGATTCTCAGATCATAGCCTCCTGAGCAGCTAGGATTACAAATATTAGCCACTGACACTTGTTCTCTTTTTCTCTCTTTTTACACCTACAAGATGATATTTCTTTACTCACGCACCTTGAAAATTCATGCCTTTTTCAGGAGTCAAGTCAAAAGTTACCTTTTCTATACAACTCTCAATCTCTGACTTTCCACACCCTTTTCTTATGCCCCCAACACAGTGTGCTATAACTACTTGTTCATTTGTGTATCTTTTCCACTAAATTGTAAAGAGAATTTTCTTCACTTTTGTTTTCTCAACATTTGCACAGATAATAAGATATACTGAGACAACATATATATATATATATATATAATGACAATATCAAATTGATGTTGAGTGAAATTATGAGTTTGTAAACATAGAAAAGTTCCTAGGAAGTAGAGGTGTGGCTCAAATGGTAGAACCTTGAGAGAAAAAGTTCCTGTATTTAACTATGGTTTTAGATCTTCAATCACATACACATACACATCAGAAAATGAAAAAATGCCGAGGAGGTTGGAGATGTAGCTCAGTGGTAGATCACTTGCTTAGCATGGGCAAGTCCTTGGCTTTCAACCCCAGCACTAAAGAGAAAAGAAAAAACCTGGAGGTACTTGGCCTTTCCAGATTTATTTTTATAAGCTAGCTTTCTTTTAAACCTTAAAAAGCTATTCTAGCTTTCAGCACAACCACATCAGAGAAAGCCATAGGGAACAGGAGAACAAAGGGAAACCCTTTAGAAGAAGACTATGCTTGATCTCAGGTTAAAGTTCCTTTAAAATAATGTCTATGGTCACTTATAATAAATTGTTTCCCAGTGGTGCTGAAAAGTTCTAATTTAGTTTAAGTGAAAATATATAAATTAAGCTACCTCAAGTTGCTAGAAACTATTTTAGTTTCAGTAGGTGCTTTTCTGCTCCTATTTTTTCTGGTACAAAGAAAATCATACTTGAAATAAATATATAAAAGCTTATATGTGGAGGAGGGCTGACTACCCAGGAAATGTTAGAAAGAGGTGCTGCTGCCCCAGCTTCTACTTTAGGAGCAGTTTTCTGCTTCTGCAGGGCTGGGCTGTTTGGTGATTACCTAATGCCAGAGAGAGCTAAAGAATGATGAAAGAGACTGCAAGTGGTAAGCTCAAGTGGGTAGTGAGGACACAGGAGCCCATTAAAGAAGAGAGAGGATGCAGAGAACCACTCACAGAATGCAACTTAGACAAAATTTTTCTTGAAGTCAAACCTCATGTTCTACTTGATTCAGCTCAGCCTCCAGTATTATTATACAGTTGAACCCTTTTTCTCCAATTGTATTTCCTTTGTGCATTACCTATTCATGTTTTTCTCCCCATTTATACCTTGGTATACTTATACAATTCCTTAAAATTTTAGCCTATTATTATACACACATTTACATATTAGGAAGAAGCTTGTTATCTGGTTAAGACCACCATGCTATAACTCAAGAAATCTGGGTCTGAATCCCAGTTCCACTATTAATGACCAGGAACAGGTCACCTCCTGCCTAGTTCTCAGTAGTCAGACATATAAATGTAGGGGACAAACTCAGAGTTTTAAGATCAAGGGAAGATGGTGATAGAGCTTCATTCCAAATTCCTGCTTTCGGCTTAGACCTAAGCAAGCCCATTTGTTTTTTGTGTTGGGAGGGGAAAAAGGGGGTCATGGGCTTGAACTCAGGGCCTGTGTGCTATCGCTGAACTTTCTGCTCAAGGCTAGCACTCTACCTCTTGAGCTACAGCTTCCCTTTGTCTTTTTGAGGGCTTAATTGGAGATAAGAGGCTTGTGGACTTTCCTGCTGAGCTAGCTTCAAATTTCAATCCCCAGATCTCAGCC